AAAGATTGGAAGTTAAAATTCTTCTTTTTTAAGTTACTTTCATTTTAAGTTCATCGGTACACATGCAGGATGTGCAAGTTTGTTACATAGGTAAACTTGTGTCATGATGGTTTGCTGCACCTATTAACCCATCACCTAGATATTAAGCCTTGAATGCATTAGCTATTTATCCTAATGCTCTCCCTCCTCTGGCAACACTCCCTACAGGCTCCAGTGTATGTTGTTCCCCTCCCTGTGTCCATGTGTTCTCATTTTCAGCTCCCACTATGAGTAAGGACATGCAGTGTTTGGTTTTCTGTTCCTGTGTTAGTTTGCTAAGGATGATGGCTTTCAGCTATATCTGTGTCCCTCTAAAGAACATGATCTTGTTCCTTTTTATGGCTGTATAGTATTCCATGGTGTACATTTGCCACAATTTCTTTATCCAGTCTATCATTGATGGGCATTTGGGTGTATTCCATGTCTTTGCTATTGCAAATAGTGCTGCAGTAAACATATATGCACATGTAACTTTATAATAGAATGATTTATATTCCTTTGGGTATATAGCCAGTAATGGGATTGCTGGGTCAAATGGTATTTCTGGTTCTAGATCCTTGAGGAATCACCACACTATCTTCCACAATGGTTGAACTAACTTACATTGCCACCAACAGTGTAAAAGCATTCCTATTTCTCCACAGCGTTGCCAACACCTGTTGTTTCTTGACTTTTTAATAATTGCCATTCTGACTGGCGTGAAATGGTTGATGAACATTTGGGTTGTTTCAGTTTTAAGCTATTACAACTATAGCTATTATGAACTTTGATGTAGAAGTCTCAACTTTCATTTATCTTAGGCAAATACCTGGGAGTGGCATAATTATGTTACACTAGTAGGTACATGTAAGTTTTTAAGAAACTGACAAACTTTTCTAACATACTTATACCATTTTGCAATCCCAACAATTGTGTATGAGACTTTCAGTTGCCCTGCATTCTGGTCAATAAGGTATGGTCAAGGTTTTTAATTTTAGCCATTCTAGTGGATGTGTAGTAACATCTCATTGTGGTTTTTAATTTGGATTTTCCTAATAACTAAAGATGTTGAGCATCTTTTTATGTGCTTATTTGCCATCTGTATTTTCCTCTTTTTTGGTTAGGTTGTTCTTATTCGATTGCAAGAATTCTTTTTTTTTTTTTTTTTTTTTTGAGACAGAGTTTTACTCTGTCGCCCAGGCTGGAGTCCAGTAGTGCGATCTCACCTGACTGCAGTCTCCACCTCCCGGGTTCAAGCGATTCTCCTGCCTCAGCCTCCCAAGTAGGAGTAGCTGGGATTACACTGCAATCTCTGCCTCCCAGGTTCAAGCAATTCTCTTGCCTCAGCATCTTGAGTAGGAGTAGCTGGGATTACAAGTGCCCGCTGCCACACCTGCTAATTTTTATATTTTTAGTAGAGACGGGGTTTCACTATGTTGACCAGGATGGTCTCGATCTCTTGACCTCGTGATCCACCCGCCTGGGCCTTCCAAAGTGCTGGNAAGCAATTCTCTTGCCTCAGCATCTTGAGTAGGAGTAGCTGGGATTACAAGTGCCCGCTGCCACACCTGCTAATTTTTATATTTTTAGTAGAGACAGGGTTTCATCATGTTGGCCAGGCTGGTCTCAAACTCCTGACCTCAAGTGATCTGCACACCTTGGCCTCCCAAAGTTCTGGGATTATAGGCATAAGACACTGTGCCCAACCAATAATTCTTTATATATTCTAGAATCAAGTTCTTCGATACCTGTTTTGCAAATATTTTCTCCAAATATATGACTTACTTTTTCATTTTTATGTCTTTTGAAAAGAGAAATTTTTATGAAGTCCAATTTATTGATTTTTTCATTTATAATTTATGCTTTGTGTATATTGTTTAAAACTGTTTGCCAAACCAAAGATCATTAAGATTTTCTCTTTATTTTTTTTTCTATAAGTTTTTGTAGCTTTAGCCCTGACACTTAAGCCCATGATCCATTTCAACTTAAATTTTGTATATATTTTGAGATATAAGGGTCAAGCTTCATTTTCCATGAATTAATCCTTGAATCACTTCTGTGTCTACTCTCTTATGAACTTACCTAGTCATGTGGCTTTAAATATCATCTGTATATTAAGGACTCCCAAATTACAACTCTAGCCCAAACTGCTATTTTAAGAGGTGTCTCAAACATGTCCAAAACTAAGCTGTTAATATCTATCGTTTCCCTTCTTCCATGCCCGTCCCTCTCACAGTCTTTGCCATTTCTATAAATGCAACTTCATTCTTTCAGTTGCCTGGGGCAAAACTCTTGGCACATCTTTGAGTGTTCTCTGTTTCTGTCATTTCCCATCTTGATCTGTTGTCAAATTCCGTTGGCGTCATCTTCACATTATATTCAGAATCCCACCTCTTCTGTCTCCTCTTTTACCACTGTAGTCCAAGCCATAATTATCTCACCCAGTTTATTGCTGTAATATTCTAATAGGTCTCTCTACTTCTACCTTTGCATATTTATTAAATTAAGTCAAATATTGTCATTTTTCAGCTCATAACCTACCAGTGGCTTTTCATCTCACTCAGAGAAGGAGCCAGATCGTTATAATGATACCTAAGGGCCTGCACCATCTAGCCACCCATTACCTACTTTACCACATTACCAGGCCCTTACTGACTCTGTTACAGTCGTACAGGCCTTGTTGGTGCTTCTCAAATATACCAAGCACACTGCCTACCTCAGGCCATTTGAACTTGCTATTTTCTCTGTCTGGAACGTTTTTCTTCCAGATAACTTTATTCTCTCACTTCCTTAAATCTGTATTCAGTTGTTACCTCAGTGAGCCCTTCCTATTTAAATTACTACTGCGTCACCTGTACATACATCTCACATTCCTCATTGCTGCTTTAGTTTTCTCTGTAACGTGTATCACCATCTAACAAATTATATATGTTAAATGTTTCTGTCTTCCCTCAATAGAACATAAACTTCTTTTGAGAAGAAATGTTTGCCTGTTTTGTAAATTGCTTGCATTCCCAACGCCTAGAGTAGTGCCTGACACATAACAGACCCTCTGTAATATTTAATATGTGAGTGGAGGCAAGTAACATTTTAGGTGGTTTTTTCACCACCTCTGAATATAAAATGGGATGTCTGTAGTTTATTAGAACTTTGTGAACAGTGCAAGTCTTCAACAAAGTTGATATAAATAGACATTGGCTCTCATAATCTTTTCCCCTTTTTAATAAAAGAGTGTTTAACATACAGACAAAATATAAAGTAACAAAAATAGCAAAAAAAAGTCAGCCATGTTGCCACCACCCAAGTTAAGAAACAAAACATTATTAATAATTTTGAAGCATACTTTGTGCTTTTTCTTTGCTTTATCCTCTCTACTCTGCTCCCTCTATAACCCTATTCTGAATTTATTTATTGTTCCTGTTGGTTTTCTTTACAGTTTTGCACATATGAATATATTCAGTTATGTATGTTTTTGAACACCTATCACAGATGTTTTGCAAACTGTTTTGCTTGACCTGATACTCAACATTTTACAGTTGTCAGACCTCAGATGGCTGGGCGCAGTGACTCACGCCTGTAATCCCAGCACTTTGGGAGGCCAAGGCAGGCGGATCACCTCAGGTCAGGAGTTCAAGACCAGCCTGGTCAACATGGTGAAACCCCGTCTCTACTAAAAATACAAAAATTAGCCAGGCATGTTGGTGCATGTTTGTAATCCCAGCTACTCTGGAGGCTGAGACATGAGTTTCATCCATGTTGATGCATGTAGCTGCAGTTCACTTATGTTTACTCCTATATAGTATCCCCATTGCATTGAGAAACCACTCTATCTGTTCTGTATATACAATTTTGTGATGGTTTTCTTGCTTTTTTAATGCTAAAAACAGTGCTGCCATGAACATGAATATACATGTTTCATGAAACACACATGCAAGTTTTTCTAGGGCAGATTCTTAGGTGTAAAATTACTATTGCATAGGGTATTTGTATATTTCATTTCACTAGTTAATGCCAGATTGTTTTCAAAAACAGTTGTATATATTTATACACCCGTCAATGGTGTATATGAGTTGTTATTTCGTTTTTCTAATGTGGAGGGTATAAAGTGGTGTTCCATGTTAGTTTTAATTTGCATTTTCCTATTTCCTAATGAGGCTGGATATCTTCTCAGATGTAATTGGCCAAAAATTAGCCAGGCATGTTGGTGCACGTTTGTAATCCCAGCTACTCGGGAGGCCAAGACATGAGAATCTCTTGAACCCTGGAGGCAGAGGTTGCAGTGAGCCACGGTTCCACCACTGCACAACAGCCTGGGCGACAGAGCAAGACTCTGTCTCAAAAAACAAAACAAAACAAAACAAAAACAACCTTAGGAAACAATTTGTAAATTTTTTTGATGCATTATCTCTTTAAGAAAGACTTACAGAGATAGTATGACTTGGTTAAAATATACTCTTCATATCAGCAGAAGCAATAGGCAGTTGAAAATAATTGAGAGTCATCTGAGCTTTAAGTAAATTGATTTTCTGGGCAACACGTGCTACTTGCTTGATTCTTTACAAAGAAAGTGACTATCCAAAAGTATCCAGGCTACTTGGCTTACATAAAGCTTAGACTTAATGATGTCCATGTTTACTATTCATACATTGTATAGTAATTATGTATAATTTTTCCTTTTTGATATCTCACATGATTTTGAATATACTTAGTTTGATGAGGATTTAATGATATTTTTAATTAATCCTCTCAATGTTTGAAAATGGTTAACAGGGTATATATTTTGGCATCTTAAAACTGACCTATTCTCTTTAGGGTAATTAAAAAGTCAGTGTATGCTTCGTATGTGTGAAATACTTGGTCATTATTAAACCAGCTTTTCTTCAAGAGAGATATACTCTTCAATTAAGGAATGTAATAAATCACCCTCTATTTTATTGTTATTGGTGTTAATGCTTGGTCTTGTAACTCTGCCCTGTCCACAGGTTAAAGTATTGCACAATCAGCTGGTCCTTTTCCACAATGCCATTGCCGCTTACTTTGCTGGGAATCAGAAGCAGCTTGAACAGACACTTAAACAGTTCCATATCAAATTGAAAACCCCTGGAGTGGATGCCCCATCTTGGCTTGAAGAACAGTAAAATCACACCAGAAAATAAAAAGAAAGTCGCATTGTTATATTTCTAAACAAACTTAACAAGAATTAAGCAGAGTTGGGGGAAGTGGGAGGGGTGACAGCCATTGTAGTGGTCTTGCACAAACAGCTTTAATTTTTCCCTTTTTCATACTTTAACAATTGAACTGTTAAATTTGATGGGAAGGTGGGTGGTTTTAATGTAAACATAGTTTCTATAATCTGAACACAATAATTTTCCTTTTTGAGAAATCCTTTTGTATTGTGAGGGTTGATGGCTATTTCTGTAGTTTGAAAACATCTAATATAGATTTGCACTGACAAGATAAAAATTCAAGGTTTTTGGTCCTGGAAATGAGGGCCAATTGTAACTTTTCCAAAGGGAGGTTTACATGATTTGTATCAACATCAGATATTTTATATATGAATATATTAAACATCTTTAAGAGATTCATTTTCATGTATTAAAGAAAAAAGAAACTATTTTGCAGAGTAAAGTTATATGGTGTTCCTGCAGCGTCCACATAGAGGCAGCAGCTCTATTGAATGACTGATTAGCTTGTGGAGTTGTGGCAAATATCTTTTTAAAAATGAATCTGTACCATTGTAATTTTGTTTAGACTATTTTTAAAGACACAGAAATGACACTGTCATTTCTGTGAGACTTTTAAGCTTCTGAATTTCTTCACCCAAAGTCATTGGACAGTTGCATTTGCAGTTTCTTGTGGTTCATAATGAAACCTGCTTAAGGGAATTCTTTTTTTTTTTTTTTTTGACAGGTGGATGTGGGAATGGAAATTCTTCGTGGTTTCTCAAGTAGAAATCTGTACTTAGAAAACTAGTTTTTGGGTTGGTTCCATTTTGATAGAAGTGAATATGTAGACAGCTTTTATTGACTTCCATATGTAACAATACCGTTTAAGCCTTAAATCACAGATAACGTGCCTTCTCAGATACAGTAATTCTTGTTCAACCAATGTAGAAAATCCATAAAGAAGCCCCTGTTGGATAATGTTTGATGTGTCTATTCCTTCCATGGAAAGGAGCACTATGTATAAATGTTGGGTTTCTTTGTACTCATTAAGCCACATTTGAGGTTTATGGTAAAAATCAACTTTTGAGTTTGCTCTTTGGTTTTTCTTCATTCCTTTTGAGGAATGGGAAAACGGAAGGATTCTTTGATTTGGGTAATGAAGAGGTAATTTGGGACAGTGTGGTCGTAGCAGAAAGAAAGGATTGGAAAGGCCAGTACTGTTTTAGTTGCTCAGCACTATTGGTTTTGTGTTAATGTGGTTGCCCTGTCCACTACATGGTTCTATCAGCAACGTAATCCATTTTCAGTGTAAAGCTCTTTTCATTTTTGTCATAGACATAAATTAATATTTTGAGAGGTATCCCTCACCTGTTCATTTCTTCTGTGTTAAAATGAAGTACTTAAAATTACTGTTATACATGAACTTTGTGGACTGTAAGATTTGTTATATATGTTCAAATGCCTTTTAGCTGGCTTTTTAATTAATATGCCTGTTTTGAGTGCTTAATACAATGTAATGTGATTGTAAATCATAAACCTATTTTAAATCATTCCTTCCTGTATATTTTTACTCAGAGAGCCTTATTTTATTCTTCCAGCAGAATTACTACTTGTGATAGTTCATTTACATTCCCCAGAATGTGCCTCTGGTGTGAATTTTGTATTCTTATTAAAAGTGTTTGCTGCAGTAAATTTTTTCTCTGACCCTTCATAGTTTAAGAAGTATATATTTGGAAATTCTGAAGACACACGATTTGTCTTTTCTGAACTTTAAAATAAATGGTGCTTCTGTCACTTATAATTGTTTTAGCTCAGTAAGCTATGTTTTTTTCTCAATGTGAATCTCTTGAGAGCTGAACATGTCCAGTCTTAACGACATTTCAATAACAGTTACGTTACCTAAGGAGCTAAACAGTTTCATGGATTGATTTTTTTTTTTCAGAATAAATTTAAAATATCAGTGATTCTGATAGTGGGTACATGAGCAAAAGAAAAAGTAAATTAATATATTTAGCCAGCAATACATTTACTTTGTTAGGAATGTAATTTATGTTCATTATAGAAAAGAATTAGAAGAAAATTTCAAGTCATAGAAGATAATAAGTACCTTCCCAAGTGAGTACTTGGAGCCACCCAACACCTCTGAAGTTGGATATTTTAGTTTTGGATTTTTATATTACAAGATCTATTTTGAATATCCTTTAATATAACATACATTTACATCTTTGCGCTTCTACCTACTTATTCCCTTAGGTTATATTCCTAGAAGTGAAAATGGGCTCTCAAAATTATATACACACTTTTAAGACTTTGCAATATATTGCCTGTTTGCTTTCAAGAAAGACTGTGCCAGTTTACACCTGTAAGAGCATACACATGTGCCTGTTTAATATATTTTTTAAGCTAGTACTGTTATACATTAAATTAAAGGGAAAAAAGGAAGATAAAACCTGAACAATCACGAACTGGAGAGTTTGGGGATATAGGTTGTGGGAGCAGGGGATGGATGGAAATGGCTGGCTTGTCGCTCATTAAAATAGAAGTTGTTATTCTAGAAAAAAAAAAATACACTGAAGAACTGGTCTGTGAAATTAAACTCTTCATCCCAAAGCTTCCAAATCTTAGGGTTCAGGAACTATCTGGGTTTGCAGAAGCAATTTAGCTGAAATCTAGGATTTAAGAAGCATCTTTTCCATATTCAAAACACACTGATAATGTTACTGAAGCTTATCCCATAGAGTGTGAAACTAGAAGGTTCCTTAGAGATTATGTCACACACTTTTTTTTTTACAGATGAAACTTTCAAGGCTTCAAAATATGTTAAACTGACTTTGCTAACCCCCATCTCCAAATGTAATGCCAGATGAGTATTTGCAACTATATACTTGAATTCCCCTTTAAATCCTGCCATTTCAACTGCATAATTAAATCAATGTGTCAAAAGTGTCAAGTGTCTTCTCTAGATAAGTTTAATATGTATTAAATGTCTTTCCCGTTGAGGAAAAAAAAAATCCAACTACCCCCAGATGACTTCATGCTAGGTACATTGCAAAGTATGCAAGATGCCTTCCTTTCTATCCACTGACCTTTAACTTGCAATATTCTGCAAAAGAAATCAGGTGAGCTTGAAAAGTGTTATATAAAGTAAACATATATATTGAAAACACTACAGTTAAATTTCTTCTAATCATGGAACTGTTAATTGAAAGAATAAGTACCTCAAAATGTGTCCATTCTCCTTTAGTTTGCACTGGAGATGACTAGTTTTGAAAAATAAATTATCTGAGTTGCTAGTTCAGTGCAACATTCAAGTATAATTTATGCTAATTTCATGAAATACCACTTAAATACTTATATTTGCAATAGTCCTAAAAATCCTTTGCCAGTACCTCTTTTTTTTTCCTTTCTTTTTTTAACCTTTCAGTTGTCTGGGAGAATTGAAGCTACCTGAAATCTTTGATCACTCAATTCTAACCAAATTTAGGCATTTAAAAAAATCAAATTCCCCCCCTTTAAGACTACAAATCTTCACATTAGCTAAAACTATCCAGTTTTGAGTAGGCTATTTTTGATTAGAAGACCAGTTATATTTTGCATTATTTCAAAGATTTCCCAAGATCACAGTTCCTTTACTATTTTTACAGTATAGCAGGACCTATTAAAATAGGACAATGCGAACAATTTTTTTGAAGACTTTCATTAAATTCAGTTCTATGTTTCCACTTGAAGGTTTCCTGTTCAACAGCTTTCCCAGCATAAATGGACCTTTATAATAAATTGCCAAGTGGTCATCATAATGTACAGGAAACTATGAAGTTCAGCTTTGTTTTCGTGAAATAAAGTTGATTCTTAGTGATTTATTTATGTTAAGTGAGAACTGCTTGTTAGTCTGGTACTAGCTCTGGTAGGGAAAAAGACTATAAACATGAGGAAATTACGTCCATTCTGAGGACCATAATTCTACTGTTGTGCAGTTAATTGATTAGTGTGCTATCAGAACTGAGCATTCTGGTTTTTTTTTAACAAGTGAAGCTTCCGCAGAAAGCAAAACCACAGTTTTGTTTGGGTCCAAGCTAGGCTTTGCCGTAAACTCTGTCAAATATTGTGTGAATTGCTGATTCATAAGGAAGATGTAAGATTTGTTATCTTAAAAATAACTTTCTGTGACTTAGCCTTTCATATCACTTTGCCTTTGGTACAAGTGTATATGTTCATATAATAACTTAGGGCACAGAAGGGAGAAGAATGTAAGCCATATACATCTCACTATATCTTGGAGCTTTGATTATTGATGTTCTACTAAAGAAGAAGCAAACTCTAAAACTTTTTGTTTCAACTGTGAGTAGAACATTATAGAGTAGTGAGAGGAAGATAATCTTGTTGGCCTCCCTGAAAAGTTTTAAAATTATGAAGCCTTAGAATAACGAATAAAGTACTCAAGATAAATTATTTATATATGCTGCTTTACTGTTATTCTCTGCCTAAATGATTTCTGATTCTACAATTAGGAAGCTTTTTATAAAAACTGCCTAAAGCCTCAGGCAGATAATTATCCTTTCCTTTGAGGAATATATACTTATTATCTAGACACTCAGCTCTTAAGAAGGGCACAGGGTAGACTGTCTTACTCACCCTATATCCCCAACTCCTTGCATAGTTTTCTTTTTTGAGACAGAGCCTCACTCTGTTGCTCAGTCCCAGCTAAGTTTTGTGTATCTAGCAGAGATGGGGTTTCGCCATGTTGGCCAGACTAAGTCCCAACCTCAGGTGATCCACCCACCTTGGCTTCCCAAAGTGCTGGGATTTCAGGCATGAGCCACAGCGCCTGGCCTCTTTGCATAGTTCTTAATTCAAAGGAGCAGTGTATAAAAATGTGTTGTTTTTGATCCAAAATTCAAATGCAGAAAAGCATTCAGTGCTTGCACTGCAATTTCGTTTGAATGAGTACAAAAAAAGACGGTACATTTATAACTTATTCTAAATTAATGTTGGGATGTTACCTAAGACATTAGGATGTTTACAGAAGAGTGACCAGTTTTTAAAATGACCATTCTTCTGTAATGTAATTCTTTCTACTACAGAAAGAATGGCAGAATTATAGAGAAGTCACCATGTTGCAACCATGACTAAAATAATTGATTCACACAGGTATGGCCAGTGGATGCTTATATCATTAAGTGAGAGATTAAGGGAAAACAGACTATTTCCATAATACCTAAGTATTACCCTACAAATGATTCCATTTGAAAGGGGAAAACAACCTAAATTGTGATCAAATTTAAAGCCATGTATAATCTAGTAATCATTGTGCCTTGGATATAATGAGATATAAATTATACACTGTCACATATTTCTGCTGGAATTGTTCGATCTGAAGCTAATCAAGTATTTTACCTTAAATTCCAGTGCACAGAAGATACAAGGGGCTAAGGACCAAGTTAAATTATACCAAGAAGAATCAACTGGACAAATCCAGAATCTGAGACATTCTACAACATAATTGGCTTGATCTCTTCAAAAAGTCCACCACAAAAGATATTAGTAATACTGCTAGAAAACAAAGATTTGAGATGATAGTTCAAAAGAATAGCTATATAAGACATTTGGAAAAAGAACTGAGTTACCCGAGTGTATATTTCATGCTGCTAGGAACTTATGTTTAATTTTTTTAGTTATGATTATATTGTGGTAATGTAGGGGAACAGCTTTACTAGGAACGCATGCCCAAACTACTTAAAGCCAAAGTAGCATGATGTCTTCAGTTTACTTTTAAATGGCTCAGCAAATATACATGCATTCATATGTATTCACATATATGGTGAGAAAGCTAGAAGAGAAAAAGAGAAGATGTCAGAGTAATATGGCAAAATGTTAACAATTGTTGAAATAAGTGGGTGGATACGTGGGGTTCCATAGTACTAGTCTTTTATATTTTCTTTTTAAAAATGTTTTTCATAATGACATTTAAAAAAAAAAAAAAAAAAGGATGTTTGGTCCAGAAAGTCATTAAGACTCACTAAAGCATTCCTCTTGCACCAGGTTGCAGTCAGAGGCTGTTTTTCGTATAGACGACACCACTTGCTCCACTCCTACAGATACTAGAATTTCTCCTCTAGCATGGGAGATAAATTGATTTGTATCTGGAAACAGAAATTCAAGTAAGTATAAAGTTGAGCAGTTTGTCAGTAAAGAGTACAGAAACAGGACAAGCAAAGAGGCAGAAATAGTTTAGGATATGACTATATAAAAAGATTTCATGCAGAAAAACAAGCATTCACTAAACTAGATCTTTTTCTCTTGTTTTTCTCACCTCACTTCCAAATTGAAGCTTTTCAAAAAAAAAAAAAAGTACTATATTTACTACAGGCACATGCCATCATGCCCAACTAGTTTTTGTATTTTTTATAGAGACGGGTTTTGCCATGTTGCCCAGGCTGGTCTCAAATTCCAGGGCTCAAGCAATCCTCTTGCTTCAGCCTCCCACAGTGCTGGATTACAGGTATGAGCCCCTGCTTCTGGCCCCAAATTGATGCTTTCTAAATAGCTATTTGAAAGTACTAGGGAAGTAAAGTTCAAAAACAAAACACTAACTTTCTTTTAGCCTAATAAGGGTGGTTTGTTTTGTCTCAATTTTTTTGCCCTCTTCTTGTAAATAAGCATATTACTACTATTCAGTACCAGTATAATTTTTTTTAAATTAAGCTGCTTAGAGCTTTATTTACTATAACAACTTAAGAGTCTTTAAATATACATTGGTAAGTTTTAATAATGATTATTTCCAATCCAAAAATATATTTTATGAGATGGTCAAGTTTTCTCTGATGCACACTTCTAAAATTAATAAAATTGCTTAACTCTTTAAAGCATTTCTCAAATAAGTAATGGATATTTATTTACATTGTTCTCAAATTCTTTTTCCTATTCCCCCACCCCATTTCCCATAAGAACAAAGAAAATACTATGGATTAAAATTTTCTGACTAGTTTATATTAATAATAGAAGTAGCAAAAACACCCAGGCAAAGTTTGGAGAATTGAGTTTTAACCATGGCAATGGTTACTATGTAATCACAGGTACTATCAAGTGAGTTTAAAAAAAAAAAAAGTAAGTTTAAACAGTAACGAGTATTTGCTGAATGACTGGTCAGCTTACCTGTGTTGACTTTCATTAACCACTTGATTCCTCTAACACCTTGAAGAGGGTCAGATGATTGCTGAAGTGGGCACTAACAATTTTTTTTCACAAAATTTTGTTTCTCTGAAAAGGCTCACCATATTTTCTCTGTGAAACTTTTAGCATTTTTCTCCAATGAAGCCAGCGATAAAATGAGAAAAAAAAATTCTTAGAAATTGCAAATGAACAGCTATGTCTAATGACAAAATTTTGTGTGTGTCTATAAGAGACCTTGCCTAAACTCACAAGGGAAAGGCAAGCATTAAAGCTTCATAGTAAGCTGTGGCCCTAACTTGCCCCTTTGTCCTTTAAAAAAAAAATACAATGACTTACTAAGAGGCTGTTGTGCTGTCTTTTGAGTTTTCGAGCCTTTGGAGTCACTATTTATGCTTATGACTACAGCAATGAAAACAAGTCTTTTTTCCCCAAACACAAGCAGCTTCAGTCCAGGCCACTCCAGACTTCCTTTCCAGTGACCTCAACACTGACCTTGATTTATTCTAGGAAGAACTCTGCCTGTTTAGTTCTTTTAGCTCATTTTTATGTGAATTCCCATTCACTAGTAGAAAACTAGCTTCAACGATTAATTTCATTTCTAGTCTGCTGACTTTTCATTATTATGATTTTATTTTTCCTTATAGTAGCCTCTTTGGAATCCTGTTCACCTAGCTTATGGCAACACTTCAGCCCAAGCAGTAACAGACAGGTAATTGTCTTACCAAGGCCACACTTAGTCTCATTTAAAAGCAGGCATCCCCACGCTTTGGTGCAGCCCTAAAAGAAGTGGAGGATCAAAGCTACATGCTTCAATTCTTAATCCTCTTTGCCTGCTTACTTCATGAAATTTCTGAAGAAAGAACTCAATCCATCCCTCTTCTTCCCAAACCATGTCAAAGCTGCAGTGAACCGAGGGATGATGACTTTGAGTTCTGTCTGTTTTGTCCACAAGGAATTTCCTTCTGTGCAAACTGTGAGGGAGGTGTGTAGCTTTTTAATCTTTGTAGCTATCTCATTTAGGAATAGCATGAGAAGCAGATTTGCACAACACATTTCCCAGCTCTACTTTTCCCTTTGGCTTAGTGATTTGGGGGTCTCAAAATTTATTTTCCTTTCACATTTCCCCCTTTTTCTTTTTAAAATCTTTCGGAGAAAGCACTTTAGAAGAAAATGAGTCTCTGGTCTCAAGTTATATCTGATCTCTCATGGCTAAGATGGTTCATTCCTAGATGGGTAGGTCCCATGTTATTAGGAAAGCTCATTTTCAGCAGGTTGTGAAGACTCACATCCTATAAAAAGAAAATAGGAGGAGAAAGTGAGAAAAAAACAACAAACAAAAAGAATGAAGATATTAGGAAATCAGTATAGGCCATATTATTCTGAAGTCCATATATTAGCAGGCAGCAGGTATAAAAGTGGTTTACATGTGAAAATAGGCTGATGTTATCTTCTACTAAAGTTTGTTGTTTCACTTCAGTTTTCAGGGCTTTAAGAAAGCACAGCTCAGCCTGCCCCTTGCGCCGCACCCTCCGAGGCGGCTGATTCGGCTGCGTTCCTCTTGGAACGCGCTGCAGAAGGTGTCCTGGTGACGAGTGGAGTGCCGCGTTCGCTCCCTGAGTCCACCCGCCAGCCCGCGGTCCTCCGCGCCACATCCCGCACACCCGCCCCTCTCCCGTACCAGGAACTTGCTGCCACCAGCACCATGCCCTACCAATATCCAGCGCTGACCCCGGAGCAGAAGAAGGAGCTGTCTGACATCGCTCACCACATCGTGGCCCTGGGCAAGGGCATCCTGGCTGCAGATGAGTCCACTGGGAGCATTGCCAAGCAGCTGCAGTCCATTGGCACCGAGAACACTGAGGAGAACCTGCGTTTCTACTGTCAGCTGCTGCTGACAGCTGATGACCGCATGACCCCCTGCATCGGGGGCGTCATCCTCTTCCACGGGACACTCTACCAGAAGGCTGATGATGGGCGTCAATTCCCCCAAGTTATCAAATCCAAGGGCGGTGTTGTGGGCATCCAAGTAGACAAGGGCGTGGTCCCCTTGGCAGGGAGAAATGGTGAGACCACCATCCAAGGGCTGGATGGGCTGTCTGAGCGCTGTGCCCAGTACAAGAAGGATGGCGCTGACTTCGCCAAATGGCGTTGTGTGCTGAAGATTGGGGAGCACACCCCCTCAGCCCTCGCCACCATGGAAAATGTCCTGGCCCGTTACGCCAGCATCTGCCAGCAGAATGGCACTGTGCCCATCGTGAAGCCTGAAATCCTCCCTGATGGGGACCATGACTTGAAGCGCTGTCAGTATGTGACTGAGAAGGTGCTGGCTGCTGTCTACAAGGCTCTGAGCGACCACCACATCTACCTGGAAGGCACGTTGCTGAAGCCCAACATGGTTACCCCAGGCTACGCCTGCACTCAGAATTTTTCTCAGGAGGAGATTGCCGTGGTGACTGTCACAGCGCTGCGCTGCACAATTCCCCCCTGCACCCCCCCCCCACCCTGCTGTCCCTGGGATCACCTTCCTTTCTGGAGGCCAGAGTGAGGAGCAGGCGTCCATCAACCTCAACGCCATTAACAAGTGGCCCCTGCTGAAGCCCTGGGCCCTGACCTTCTCCCAGGGCCGAGCCCTGCCGGCCTCTGCCCTGAAGGCCTGAGGTGGGAAGAAGGAAAACAAGAAGATGGCGCAGGAAGAGTACATCAAGCCCTCCCTGGCCAACAGCCTCACCTGTCAAGGAAAGTACACCCCAAGCGGTCAGGCTGGGGCTGCTGCCAGCGAGTCCTTACTAAGCGGAGGTGTTCCCAAGCTGACCCCAACACTCCAGGCCCTGCCCCGTCCCACAATATCTTGAAGAGCGGGCCTCCTACTCCGGGGCTCCAGACTGGCTTGCCCACACTCTTGCCTCCCTTGTGACAGTGATGTGTGGTGTCGTCTGTGAATGCTAACTCCATCGCCCTTTCCAGCACACTGCCAATAAACAGCTATTTAAGGGGGGCATGGGGGGTGGAGAGAAAGAAAGTACAGCACAATTTTTAGTGATTTCAAATCAGAAAAAAATAGGAACAAAAGGAAAGGAAAGGAAAAAATTGAAAACATTATTTTGGAGACTTGTAGCCATTGAAAGTTTTAGATTTCAGTCCAAACTGTAGAAAATAATAAAAAGGGAAAAACATTAGGCAAGACTAGAATCTAATAACAGGTGTACTATAGTTTATTTTGAAACATAATTCTTTCTCCAGTCCCATTTTTACTCAAGACAAAGACAAATTCATTTGCAAAATAAGTTTTAGTCTTATCATACTTGGCTGGAGTATTTGCATAAAGTCAGCAAGGGTAATTATTTGCCATGTAGGCTCCTTTTGTTTTTGTTTTTTAATTGGCTTTGCTAGAACTTTATTCCATAGGAATCTCAGATTCAACTTTATATGCCCTAAGCTCAGCCTATGCTAGCAAATACCTGTATTAATTGGTTGAATTCCTCACCTTGAGGTCCCAAGAAAACTTGGGGTTCCTGGGCTTGTCAGAAAGTGACATTCTTACCACAGGGACTGTGTAGACAGGGTATGAAGCCAGTTTTCCCAAGGGACTTTTATTGACCCTATAAGTCAACTTTGATTCCTTAAAGGAGACTGTTTGTAACTGAAAGCTTGCCATTCCAGTCGACCTTGGTAAAATAACCTGTGGCTCCAGTTGTGTCCTGTTACAAAAGAAAACATTGTTATTGCACTTATGCAAATAAGTCTATTGTCATATGTTAAAAATACAAATAGTTTCCAAATTTTGGAGAAATTAGGTAGACAGAAGTATGCTTCAAATTTTATTTATAGGAATATACTTAAATGTTAAAAGCTGTAAAAAGCTCAAAAGTTTTCTTGGCTCTGAAAAACAAAGGATCAGCAATCTTTTAAGCAAAAAATAATAAAAGGATTATTTCAGTCTTCTGTTAGTTTGGTCCTGCAGTTAACTGCTATTCTGCTTGATATTCATGAGCATTTCAGCTCTTCATGAGAGTCTTGTGAGTTTTTCCTCTATTCTAGTGTCACAACCTCCAAAGTTATCAGAAACCTGCATTTAAAAGCACCTGTCAAGAGTCCCATAGCTGATTATAAAACCACCATTTAAAAAGAATAAAAGTAAAACAACTGTGGATGACAAAAGTCTTAGAACAATCATAGTTACTAAGACACAACTGACAAAGAAATTTGGTTACTTCTGTGGCATACAATGATTTTACATTATAACCATAATTACTACTGATAACATGTGCTAAAATATATCAGAATCACAGGAATTTCACACAGTTCTGGAACACATACTAATAACACATTTATATAAATATAATCCAAAGAAGTTTAAACACTTTCATATTTGACAATACTTGTATGATTTTATTATATCAAATAAGCCGGATACATCTCTTTTGACTCCAGGGGACTAGCACAAAATTAATGAGGACCAAAGTTAGAATTTGATTTTGGAGTTTGTCAAATATAAAAAGTTTAAAACACTTAATATCACAAAATAGAATCACAGGTCATTGTAAAATAAGTCACTCATTTAGACAAAGTGATAAAGATTACAAAAAAAGTTAATACCTTTATTCTTTGAGAGAGAAAACTTAATTTCCCAGACATTAAACTCTAATAATTAAAGACAGCATGAGGCCACTTAAATTTGTTTTTCAAAATTTTATAAACAACCTATAAAATTTTAATCATCTTGACCATAAGAAATAATTTCCATAAGCCTTTTATAACCTTTATACCATGTATTAAGGAGTGAGTTAATATTCCAAGAAAACCTTGTTAATCTGACACAGGGGCCCATGTGCTAGCTTTGCACTAGTGTGCCTTTCACATTAACAGTTAATTTATAGAGAAACTGAACTTACTTTATCTCTCAAATCAGCACTTACTCACATGCCTGACTCTTCTGTGATAGTCCTTGGCCTTGAAGAGTTGAATAGTTTTAATTTCTAGCCCTGTGTGTCATGAATGGAGTTTATTTTGATTGGCATCTGCTACTGGGTCTGAAGATGAGGCTTCAACTGCTATCATTGTTTTAAAATTTAGCAGGACTTGGTGTCCTTTTTAGGCTCTGGAGTCAAACCCCTGTAACTTAATAGCATAAGGACTTTAAAAGCACATGTAGAAAGTTACACAGATGTAATAACCTTAATTTAAAATTTTCTTTCAATTTGTTTTTTCTAAGAAAACCAAAACTTAATAATATTGACATCCAGATTATTTTCATAAAGCATAAAATCTTTGTTACGCCAGTTAACCAAAGGCAAAAGAAATGCAGTGCAAATACTGGTCCCTCTAGGGAGTCTATTTAGAAAATCTGCAAGTCAAAACTAATGAAAAGTGTACTTGAACTAGTTAGATATAGGAAGTGTTGCTTGAGTCATAGTGAAAATTTTCTGATTCATAAAACAATTTAAAGCCAAGGGCACAGAATATTATGTTGGAAGTAAGCATTTTCTTTAAGATAAAACATTTTTAGCATCAACCCACAACAAATAGTTAGAACCCAAAGAAATAAAACCTATGGTAGCTGAAAATGAGTTGAAGGTTAGAGTTATCAATCAGGACTTTTAAATGAGGAGAGAAAGTTGAAAACAGGGAGATGAAATGAAAGATTAAAATTTGGGTTAAAAAAATTAAAATCTCTTGTAATTATATTAAGACTTAATAAATACCTTCAGAAAATTTCATTGTTCTACCCAATTCTGTAGTGTATAAATGTCTTTAAAAAAAATTAAAACTCAATCTCTAGAAAGACTATTGTAAATACTTTCCCTTTAATTAGAGACAAATTAATCATATAAAAGTTTTTTCCATAAATCTTCTTCTTATGACTTACAGGTACCATTTGTGACATGCTTGGACTTTCTCATTTGCCCTTACATCCCTTTATCTTTATTTGTCTCATATATATATCATTGCACTTCAGGTTCTGGGGTACATGTGCAAAACATGCAGAATTGATGCATAGGTACATATATGGCAATGTGGTTTGCTGCCTCCACGCACTCCCCATCACCTATATCTGGCATTTCTCCCCCTGTTATACCTCCCCAACCTCCCTACCCCCAACTGTCCCTCCCCTATTCCCCCGCAACAGACACCAGTGTGTGATGCTCCCCTCCCTGTGTTCATGTGTTCTCATTGTTCAACACCCATCTATGAGTGAGAACATGCAGTGTTTGATTTCCTGTTCTTGTGTCAGTTTGCTGAGAATGATGGTTTCCAGATTCATCCATGTCCCTACAAAGGACATGAACTCATTGCTTTTTATGGCTGCATAGTATTCCATGGTGTATATGTGCCACATTTTCCTTGTCCAGTCTATCATCAATGGGCATTTGGGTTGGTTCCAGGTCTTTGCTATTGTAAACAGTGCTGCAATGAACATATGTGTGCATGTGTCTTTATAATAGAACAATTTATGATCCTTTGGATATACACCCAGTAATGGGATTGCTGGGTCAAATGAAATTTCTATTTCTAGGTCCTTGAGGAATCGCCACACTGTCTTCCACAATGGTTGAACTAATTTACACTCCCACCAACAGTGTAAAAGTGTTTCTATATCTCCACATCCTCCCCAGCATCTGTTGTCTAGATTTTTTAATGATCACCATTCTAACTGGCGTGAGATGGTATCTCAATGTGGTTTTGATTTGCATTTCCCTAATGACTAGTGATGATGAGCATTTTTTCATATGTTTGTTGTCCTCATAAATGTCTTCTTTTGAAAAGTGTCTGTTCATGTCTTTCAACCATTTTTGAATGGGTTTATTTGTTATTTTCTTGTAAATCTGTTTTAGTTCTTTGTAGATTCTGGATGTTAGCCCTTTGTCAGATGGGTAGCTTGCAAAAATTTTTTCCCATTCTGTTGGTTGTCGGTTCACTCTAATGCTAGTTTCTTTTGCTGTACAGAAGCTCTGGAGTTTATTTAGATCCCATTTGTCTATTTTGGCTTTTGTTGTCAATGCTTTTGGTGTTTTGGTCATGAAGTCCTTGCCTATGCCTATGTCCTGAATGGCTTTGCCTAGATTTTCTTCTAGGGTTTATATGGTGTTAGGTCTTGTGTTTAAGTCTTTAATCCATCTGGAGTTAATTTTAGTGTAAGGTGTCAGGAAGGGGTCCAGTTTCTGCTTTCTGCACATGGCTAGCCAGTTTTCCCAACACAATTTATTAAACAGGAAATCCTTTCCCCATTGCTTGTTTTTGTCAGGTTTGTCAAAGATCAGATAGTTGTAAATGTGTGGCATTGCCTCTGAGGCCTCTGTTCTGTTCCATTGGTCTATATCTCTGTTTTGGTACCAGTAGCCTTGTTTTGATTACTGTAGCCTTGTAGTATAGTTTGAAGTCAGGTAGCGTGGTGCCTCCCGCTTTGTTCTTTTTGCTTAGAATTGACTTGGCTATGTGGGCCTTCTTTTAGTTCCATATGAAGTTTAAGGTGGTTTTTTACCAGTTCTGTGAAGAGGGTCATAGGTAGCTTGATGGGAATAGTGTTGAATCTATAAATTACTTTGGTCAGTATGGCCATTTTCACAATATTGATTCTTCCTAACCATGAGCATGGAATGTTTTTGCATCTGTTTGTGTCCTCTCATAGTTCATTGAGCAGTGGTTTGTAGTTCTCCTTGAAGAGGTCCTTTACATCCTTTGTTAGTTGCATTCCTAGGTATTTGATTCTCTTTGTAGCAATTGTGAATGGCAGTTCATTCTTGATTTGGCTTTTTTTAAGTCTGTTATTGGTGTATATTAATGCTTGTGATTTCTGATCATTGATTTTGTATCCTGAGACTTTGCTCAAGTTGCTTATCAGTTTGGGAAGGTTTTGGGCTGAGACAATGGGGTCTTATAAATATACAATCATGTCGTCTGCAGATAGAGAGAGTTTGACTTCCTGTTTTCCTAATTGAATACCCTTTATTTCTTTTTCTTGCCTGATTGCTCTGGCTAGAACTTCCAATACTATAT